ATATATTATATTCTCATCACCTGATTTCGACACTCTGCCTCAACATGAGCCAACTTTGTCTGCGCCAATTCCAACTCTAATTCGCGCACCCTTTCCTGCACTCTATGAAGCATAGGATCTATTCGATTCTCCAAAGGATGCGCGATATCCGCTAAGATATTCGACGAATCCATTATACATGTCCTGCATTTCTCACATTTTGAAACCTTTGCCTGAAACAGTATCAGTTATTTTATTTCTGTACGCGATACAATGTTAACGCGATCGCGCAAATTGAATCAGAGATCACGCACTCGTAATTCGCTCAACGTTGTCTTTGCGGCATTGTAATCGTCCTCCAAACGCTGACAGATCTGAAACAATATAAATATGCGTTTTTTACAATTCTATGTAATATTTAAAATCGTACTGTGTATGGGGAATATAATAATATTTTATAAATACCTGCTTGTATTCGGCTATAATGACGTTGCTTCTGCGACTTTCGGCATCTGCCCGAGCCACCTCGCGTTGCAACATCTCTTTAATTTGCAATAGTTCCGCCTCCAATCTTTGCTTCTCCTCTTCATTTCTGGCCACTGTACCGCGTAATTGCTCCACCTCATTACTGTACTCGTCAGCATTTTCCTGTGCTTCTGTACGAAGAATAAACACAATTCTCATTTAGGAAAATGTTTTCAAAAAATATACATATAGATTATAACTGCGTCGGTTTTTTTTTTTAAATTTTTCATCTCGTTATAATTATAAATTCAAAATTATCTTCATGTGAGTGCATATAATTACATTTTACAATTATAACATTATAATTATTCTTTACACTTGATTTTATTTTTGCATGAATTATTTTTGCTATGACAATTTCATATACATCATTTTTATTCCTGTTTGCTTTAGGTTTCTTTGGATGTGCTTCATACATGTCATAAACATATATTTTTTTAAATACGCATTGTTTCTTTATCTTATATCTGATACGCGTAAGTGAACGTAACGCGATTTTTGAACACTGGACACTTGAGCATTATATAAGCACGCTTATTACTTTTACTTTTCACTTGTTCTTTCGTTGGACAGCTCATATTTGCACGACTGATTTGTTTAAAATAGATAGTCCGGAACGAAACTGACAGATACACGATATCTCGTTAGCACGAGCAGCCGATTTTATCATATACTGTTGTAGAGAATGCGTTATGCCAAATTTAAACTGCTGGCAAAGCTGATATTGGATATCTCTATCTTATATCTCCTTGACAAGCGATAATATTGACAATCGAGATACTTATCAATATTGCGACATATTTATCAATATTTGACACATTTTAGAATATTGCAGAAGTAATTTTTTCTGAAAAAAATATTTTTTAATTTTATTCCTTCCACGTAATTAGTAAAAAAAATGAGGAGCCAAAAGAAACATTATTGCGATTATTGTAAATTGTATTTTTTATGATAAAAAAGTTTATAATGTACATGTTATATATAATTTCTAAATCTGTAGATCCAGTTCAATATTTATATATAAATGATCTATATCTACAGTATGCAAGCACACACAAAAATTCCCGTCTAATTAATCAGCGGAAAGTTATGTATATTACTGCTTATCAGCTTACACTTCAACAACTTGATATAGGATCAATATGTGCAGATAATAACTTCATAGCAATACTTTTACACATTTTCTATATAATCTCTACCATATATAATTTCCTTAATTGTAAAAAAACATGTTATATATTTTTATATTTTAGATAATTTTACTTTATTTTATTGCTTTTTATGTTAATTATACTCATCTATAGCACTGTTGTGGATATATTACGACACTACACTACTTCTATAGACGTGAAGGAGGTATAATTAGTACAAATAAGTGCCGAGACAATATCACTTGCACCCATGCATACCAAAATATATAAATAACAAATGCATACCCAAATATAGCGAGAAAAAAACATACAAAGATAGAGGAAGTGCAGATGTTTATTAGATATTTGTTAGGAGCAGGATATCATTGGATAAAATAGGTAATTCACAAAACTAAAATTAGAATATTCTGAGACAATTTATTTTCAGTAAGCAATAATAAATAATCTATAAATAAAAAGCAATACAAGATCGTATACACAAGCGGTATAGCTAATAAGCATGGGCTTTAATAACAAATATAATGTCAGCTTTTCTAGAAACTTCATCAAAAAATAAATAATACTTTACAAAAAAATTAAACTTTAAAACAAAAACTTGACACATGAAATCTCCTTGTCTAACACATAATATTAATGTACTACATGTTCACAGCACACACTAAGAGATATATATATTATCATAAAACAATAGCATAAAAAGATACAGCATGATAATTCTATAATTTGAGTATTTTGTATCATGAAAATTGTAATATTTTGAACAATTCGTCTTTCAATCAATAAAATTTTAAAAAATATGATATAAATTATTATAGACGGTTTTAATATCTTTATGTAATTTCACTTGTATGCATTTAAGTAGATCTTATAATATCATGAATATGTTTATATATTATCATTATTATATGTTTATACATTTTTAATAATTTATAAGAGTTCTATAATAAGATACTGATGAGAGGAGATAAGTATGTATATATATATACATACATACCGTTTTCTTCAATAAATTTCTTATTTTAAAAATAATCGGTAATGTATCTCTCATCATGTTGCAACGTCTGATTTAAAAAAAAATATAGAAGCAAGCAAAACCATCATCTGACTATAAAATAATTGTGAAATGTCCACTTTGCATTTTTAAACTAATTCATAGAGAGCTGTGTATGTATAAAGTTTATTATAAAATATTTGCCAAGACTATATTACTAAATTACATATTAGCTATATTCTTTCGAGACTAGAGGCATATTTTATACTTTGGTTTAAAAAATATATATAATCATGTTAAATATATACGTGCACATGTGATGTTATCCTATAAATTAAATAATATTTTTTTAAATTTAATATATATATATATATAATTTATTTTATATATCATACTTTTTCTAA